TATATATATATATATATATATATATATATATATATATATATATATATATTTATAATTTTATGTATGATGTCACTATTAAAATTCTTCATCATTCTGAGTTTTAAAAAATAAAAATGAAACTTACACATACAAGTCCAGCATGCAATCATAGCCCACTGCATATATCCTGCCTTTTTTCTTTTTTAAATTCTTCAATTTTCTTTTTGAGAATTCTATCTTAGTCCAAGCATGGTTTGTTTAGTATTTCCTTCCCTCCATGTACTGTTTTATAATTCATTACTTATTCATTCTTTCTGTATGGCCAAACCACTCATCACAGTTCTTTGATATTAAATCCACATTAATTTAATATCCATTAATTCTTGACCCTGACTTTTACTATTTTTCCTCATACATTGTATTCAACTGCCTTTTACATTACTCCAGATTTACTCAACTCTCACTTCATATAACAAAGCATATTCTTAAACACAGTCATTTTTGCTGCTTCAAAAAGCATTATTCTTGCAGTTGACTACACTCATTATCATACTATTCACCTATTTGTATCTTAATATTTGATCATTCATTTCAACATCTTCAGGAAACATCCTATTGTGGCATGAAATATATGTATATGCTCTTTTTAAATGATTTCCTCTATATCCAATTTCCTGTCAAGCAAAACTTTTCTGGTCTTCAGAAACATTATTTTACTACCCTTACTCTGTTGCAACAAATAGTCTAGCTAATATTTGCTGCAGATTATTCATACAAAGCAACAATATGGCATTGTATGCATACAAAAATTATGTATCAATTAATATTGCTAATTAACACATTTCTAATGTCTCTACAATAATTTGTTATACAGTCTCAATAATACATTACTAAATGCATTACAGAATCAAAGCAATACAAGAGTTTTATCTTGCTCAACACCAAAACATTTGCTAATCATTACATTATTTCTATGCATAAAATACTACATCTAGCAACCAATTTGGTCAAAAAATTCCATTATTCAAACATATAGCAAGTCCTCAGTTAATCACAGTAATAAGGACCAGGTATTCTATCGCTACATGACACAGTCATAAAGCCTGATGTCACATTACTATGCTGACTTATGAAAGCAGTGCTGACAGTTCCAGTTGTGGTTGTTAGGTGAATCCTGTGTTGTCACGATGTCATGTGTCAGATATCTCCTGCCAGCTTCACATTGGCTTCATTCATCAAAAGTCAGCAAACAGCAATCACATGACTGTAGGATACTGTGACCATCATAATTGCAAGTTGGTTGCAAAGTGCCTGAAATGTGATCATGTGATACAGAAATGCTTCAATTGCCACAATTTCAAGGACTTATACTCAAGGAATATTTCTCAATATTCCAATACTTGAGGGGCTGTCACTGATAGGAGGAGGACAAGCTATTTTCCAAATCACCCAATGGCCAGACAAGAAACACCTGTGCACGTGGCCACCCCGCATGCTCCCACCCCCTGAGCATGCACGCATGCCCCCTACAAACCCCATACACCTTGCACATGCACGGCAGAGACCCGACAATCAGCTGGCTGGCAGGAGGGGTACACACATGCACAGTGGAGCTGAACTAGGCGATGGCTCACATGCGCACAGAGAGGGCACTGTATGCTATAGGTTTGCCATCATGGGTATAGGGTCTCCTGTGTGGGCAGGGAATTAGCTCTCTTCCAACACTGTTATTCTATTCTATATTCTGTATATTGGTTGACCATAAGTCCAATTGTTCACTGCTGTCATAGATTTGAACAATTGCTGAATGGTCATTAATGAAGGACCACCTGCATTCATTCACATGAATTGATTCATTTATGCACATTCACAAATGTGCTAACATTTATTCTACACTTTATCTAAATTAATAAATGTAGAATAAATGTTAGCACATTTGTACATTTCTTAACAGTATTTCAGAAAGCAAAAATCTGGGTTGCATATTGTTGCCCAAAATAATTGCTTTTTCACCTCCCCTAAATTTATTCAAATAATCGCTTGCATACTTTTATTCAGAATTGTGCCAAATATCTTTCAAGGCATACTTATCAAACTAATGAGGTACATCAAAAATTATTTCATCACATTTATTTTTAATTTTATTCATTTTGGTGAGATATTGTTGTCTAGCTCTCTTCATTCACTTCCAAACAATGTTTGGTTCCTATAAAATCATGTTGAATTTTTCCCTATCTTGTAATATTAAATGTACTTTGGTTTCTTTCAACACATTGCTTGTAACTACCATATAATTGTCCAGGTTACACAGTAACTTTGTCTTGGCCTCATTTTTTGCAATAATTTTTCTCCTATAGATATTTTTCTCATCCACAGCTTTCTGCATTTCACTATGTCCTGAAGAATCTTTTTTTAATGTTTCCTATTAAAGCAATCCCATACACTTCTGTGGCACCCTATAATATTATTTTCATTGTCTTCCATGCTTTGCCCAAACTATTTTTGAATACTTTCCCTATAGAATTTGAGTTTTTGCTTTCTACTCTTGGCACTACAAATTGTTTCACATTCAGAACTTGTCATCATTTTTGTACCCTTCACTAATTCTATCTAACTTTCATTTTTTTAAAATCTGATCAATCATGCTTTAACTTCATTCCTTTGCTGTGCACATGCATGAACAGATAGTAAAAAAAACCCTAAAACTCTCCAAGCATATATTAAAAAAATAATCACCACTGTCATTCATTTGAGGATCTATGAATAGTCCAATCCCTTTTAAAATACCATATTGTGTCTTTCCTGGCTCTCCATTTTTGTCATCTGCCTGAAAAATGTTTTCACCCGCCTTTGTTTAAAATGTTAGGTTCTTGCCCCACCCAAATTCATCATTGGGTCTTCCATTACCTTCTAAAGTATAGTAGGTCCAATTGACCCACTTCTGATAAATGTTTTATTCCCTTCATTCACATTTAAGCTAAGTTTTCATTTCCTGGCATACATTCATAAACTAGCCCAAAAGTTCAATAACCTTTATTCAGGTCTGTTATATCCTTTCTCCCCCCCCCTTTTTTAGTTTCAAAGACATAACATTTTACTTTCAAATAAACAAGTTTGCTTGACAAGCAAGGTGTTTGCTTAATGAACACAACATTTGCTTAACTCCAGCATTCAGTTAACATCTGCCGTAAAAACATCTGGAAAATTAATTCTGATCATGTGGAAGTCTTGACTTATGACTGCAATGTCTTACATCCATAATTATGGGTTTAGTAACAGTTGTTAAGTCAAGAACTACCTGTATTATATTAATCATAGCCTATGCTCCAATCAATAATACAAAGGAAACAGAAGGTGCACATTTCTATGGCAACAGCAACAACCCACTGACACAATATCTTCCCTCCCCACCCCAAAAAGTCTTACAAAACAGAAGCTGAAAAACTAAAGTTATAAGCAAAATAACATAAAGTAGACTACTTTCAGTGTACCTAATGAATCATGTGATAGACTAATAGAGTATGCCAGGAAAATTCAGTGTTTATCGCAAATATTTTATTCCAACAATCAGAAAAAAAATTCAATGTGTGGACATTACAGGATGGACAATACTGAAATAAGATTTGAGCATCACCACCAGATGGATTCATAACTGGCTGACCAACCACATTCAACGAGTAATCCTCAATGGAATTGCATCTTCATGGAGGGAAGTATGTAGTGGAGTACCCCAAGGGTCTGTTTTGGGCCCAGTACTCTTCAACATCTTCATCAATGATTTGGATGAGGGAACAAATGGGGAACTCATCAAATTTGCAGATGACACCAAGCTGGCAGGAATAGCCAACAGTCGAGAAGATAGGCTAAAGATATAGAAGGAACTTGACAAACTTGAACATTGGGCACTATCTAATAAAATAAAATTCAATGGTGAAAAGAGTAAGGTTCTACATTTAAGCAACAAAAATGAAATGCACAGGTACAGTATAGGTGGTACCTTGCTCAACAGTAGTAAATGTGAAAGGGATCTTGGAATCCTAGTGGACAACCATTTAAATATGAGCCAGCAGTGTGCAGCAGCTGCCAAAAAGCCAACACAGTTTTAGGCTGCAAAAACAGAGGGATAGAATCAAGATCACGTGTTAATACCACTCTATAATGCCTTGGTAAGGCCACACTTGGGATACTGCATTCAGTTTTGGTCACCACGATGTAGAAAAGATGTAGAGACTCTAGAAAGAGTGCAGAGAAGAGCAACAAAGATGATTAGGGGACTGGATACTAAAACTTATGAAGAATGGTTGCAGGAACTGGGTATGTCTAGTTTAATAGAAAGAAGGACTAGGGGAGACATGATAGCAGTGTTCCAATATCTCAGGGGTTGCCACAAAGAAGAGTGAGTCAAACTATATTCCAAGTCACCTGAGGGTAGAACAAGAAGCAATTGGTGGAAACTAATCAAAGAGAGAAGCAACTTAGAACTGAGGAGAAATTTCCTGACAGTTAGAACAATTAATCAGTGGAACAGCTTGCCTCCAGAGGTTGTGAATGCCCCAACACTGGAAGTCTTTAAGAAGATGTCGGATAGCCATTTGTCTGAAACAGTATAGGGTTTCCTGCCTAGGCAGGGGGTTGGACTAGAAGACCTCCAAGGTCCCTTCCAACTCTGCTATTGTATTATAAAATTGATTATTTATACACAGTATACAAATATATAGAATGCTCTATTCAGCCAGCAACAAGACTGTCTCATCTAACTGCAGCTCACAAAGCCCTCCTTGAAAAATTACAATTTATCTAAAAATGTAAATAAAATAACCAACAGGATATGATCTCAGCAATATTTCATATGATTATGCAGTGAAGTATAGATTTATTGCATTAGATTGGATAGAATACAGCATATTGTACTGGAATTTGTGACATCATTAAAAAAGAAGCAAATAAAAATACGTTGAAATGCAAAAGACAGCAAAATCATTATCTGCTGACATGTACAAAACAGCAAAACAAAGGCAAAAATAAAAAGAAACAGAAACAAAGGAAAAACTGCCCAGCTATGCACCGAGTATGAGAGAACAGGAAAAAGTGACAAGGAGTTATATGTAAATCAACACTGAAAAGAAACTGAGATAATAAGTAAATGGCAAAGCAAAATAATTATAAAAATCAGAGAAATTAAAGAAAACTTTAATGGAAGGCATATTGAAGATAATACATATTAAGATTTGATAAATGAACTCTAGAAACTTAACATTTTGAGCTGCAAAGACCTAAAAATACTGATAATAACAAACCTTCAAGAGTTGATGTTAACACTGTAGAACTATTTAAAATTCTACAAGAAGATACAATTAAAGTGCTACCCTTGTTTTTTAAATAGAGGGTGGCCAAGGAGTTATATTCTAGTATCCAGAAAAAAGAGAGTCAGTCTGATATAGTTGTTAAAGTATCAGGGTAGAAAGCAAGACACTGTGAATTTTAGTCCTGCCTTAGTCACACACACAGCCAGTTGGGTGACCTTGGGCCAGTCATTTTCTCTCAGCCTTGGGAAGGACAGAATGGCAAAACACTTCTGAAAAACCTTGCCATCAAAAGCAGGGACTGTTCAGGCAGTCTCTCAGAATCAGGTATGATTGAAAAGAAGGGAATCAAAAAATCAGAAAGGATATTACTAGCATGATCAAACTACAACCACAAGTTTACTGATTCACAGGGACAAAGCATCGAGCGTCAAAGGCAACCAATAACAAATTTATATAGACCACGAGTTTCCAATTGTGAAAATAATAAATAAATTGTGATAAGTGGAAAAGGCTGGTGCTAAATAAACTTGTTGAAAATATGTTAGGCCACAAATGAAATAATGAAATACATTGCCCATTAGAAGTGCTAATAATGAAATTAAAACTTAAATCTTTTGGATACATAGTGCAAAATTAAGAGTTCCTGAAGAAAAACATGATACTTGAAAAAATGAAAGACAATAAAAAAGAACGACAAAATAAATAGGGATTGTCATTAATGATAAAAGTATGATATTAGAAGAACAGAAATAAGGAATTATTAATAGTCTTTGCAAAATGACATCCATCAGGTCACAAAGAGTTGGAAACAACTAAAAAAAAACACTAGAAGTGTAACGTACACATTGCACTAAGCAGGGCTTCCAATTAAATATGCATCATTACCATCAGCCAATTGGTTAATATATTATCAATGCATAAGAAACCTCCAGAGGAGTATGTGACTTCAGGATTGTATTTTAAAGAATACTTTTGACAAACATTCACCATAATCCTAGCTATAGT